GAAGTAGAGAAAAACTTGCATCTGAATCCATGGCAGCCACCACCACAGCCAAAGTGAGCTTGAGGCTCCTGATAGACACCAAAGGTAACAAAGTACTGTTTGCCGAAGCATCCAAAGAGTTCGTCGACTTTCTCTGCAGCTTACTGTCTCTGCCTATGGCAACTGTGATTAGGACTCTGTCTAAACAGGGCATGGTTGGTTCCCTCGGGGTTGGTTCCCTCGGGGACCTTTATGAGAGCATAGAGAATTTGAGTGAATCTTACCTGCAGACTTCGGACGCCAAGGATGCCCTGTTGAAACCTGACGTTCATACATCAGGAGCAGCTCTTCCTCTGTTGTTGCCAGAAATTCAGACACCCAAATCTACATGCTTTTTTGGGTGTGGTCCTGGTGCTTCTTCTCCTGCTTTCGGTAGTACTGCCACCTTTACTTTTGGTGCCTCTCCTAGTTTTGGTGGAGGTTTTGCTAGCGGTTCCTGTTCTTCTCATGTCACAAATGATCCAACTGCCATTTGTCCTCAAAGTGGAAACCATATCAACAGATCGCTAACGTTTGTCGATCCACCAAATAAGAAGACTTGCGCTCTTGAAGGAGGCTATGTGAAAGGAGGGGTAGCGAAATATATGATCATGGATAATCTGGAGGTGAGGCCCATATCTACTATTTCCAGCATCACTATTATGCTCAACCAGTTCAATGTCAAGGATCTTGGGGCGCTTGAAGAAAAAGTGGTCGATGTGGGTATGGATCAGGTATGGCATCATCTGTTGTTCCTCTTGACTACTTCATTGCATCTTCATACCTTTTGGACAAGATTTTTGTGGTAATTAACATTATTGTTGCTTGGTTCTGTTTACAATTATTAACAGAGTGTGGAATTGCTGAAGATGTCCTTGCAGTCTAAGACTGTTCTTACTGAAGTTTTCCTTGGCAAGAAGTTTTCCTTCGCAAGAAGTTTTCCTTGGCAAGAAGCCTTCAAATTGATGATCTATATTGACTTGTTACCCAAGGAGGAATTAAATTGCCTTTGGGAGTTGTTCTTTTGGTGTATTTTGCTAAGGATCCTTGAAAATATCATGGCTGATACTATGTAGTAAAGCTTGGCCTTCTTGTTTTATCTTGTTCTTGGGCTGTGAAACTGCTCTAGGCATTGATTGCATTAAAAAACTGTGTTTCTCGATGTATTTATGGGGAAGAAGGGTTAAGACTTAAGGATGTTCTGTTTCCATTTTCTCTAATGTCCCAGAGTAGAGTTTTCCTTTTTTTGATTCCATAACCTATTCTCTCATTTCCTAGAAACGTGATTGGAATTTGAAAAATGCAATTTATGCATAGAGATTCTCAGTAGTCTCTCATGAATGCTTCTTTCGTGTCTATTCCACTTCTCTACGGACTTAATTGTACCTGTCAGACAAGAAAAAAATTTGTATATAAACCACTCTGAATATCCTCATGAGAGAGGGTTTGCATCAATGGCATCCAACACAGCCAAAGTAAGCCTGAAACTCCCGGTAGATGCCAAAGGCCAGAGCCCAGAGGGTTCTGTTTGCTGAAGTAGGCAAAGATTGTTTGGTTTTTTCTCAAAGAAATGGAGAAAAAGTTGAAAGAGCTGAAATCCAATTTCCATTTCATTTTACTGGTATTTGTACATTACAGAGAATTTAAATTTTAAAATTCAAAAGTTTCTTAATTTAAGCATTTTCTGTGCTTAAGCCAAGGAGTTCTTTTACAATAATATTTTGTCATCAAATGGTACACATCAGATCACATAGTTCTAGCTTGAAGTTTCACTAAAATGTACCCAAAAGACTAGGCTAATTTCAGTTTAACTAAACTGAACTTGTGCAACTTGATGGCACTAACGTACTGCTATTTCCACCAAAGCTGCTTTATGCAACTTTCATCAAAGATTTCATCGATGCCCTGTTCAACTTACTGTCTCTACCTCTCGGAACAGTAGTCAGGCTTCTCTCCAAACAGGGTATGATTGGCTCCATTGGAAACCTCTATGAAAGCATTGAGAATTTGAATGATACTTGTATGCAGGCGCCAGAGGCTAAGGATGCCCTTCTGAAGCCGCACGTTTTTGCACCAGCAGTTCCTCTCCTGTTGCCAGGCACTCAGACATCAATTCCTACAAGTTACTACATGTGTTCATCATACTGTTGGAATAATGTGGCAAAAGAACCAACTGCTAATTCTTCTCAATGCGGTCACTTAATGAACGCAAAGGTGACCTCTATTGGTTCACCAGACGCAGATAACCAATCATCATTTGCAATGACCTTGTATAAGTGTAATAGAAACTGTCCGTACATGACAGATGTGGCCTTGATTATATGTCTTAAATGCAATACCAAATTGAGATGCCTGCAGATACTTCCTGTAAGCCGCCAAATAAGCAATCCCTCTCCTGGGAGGAGGTGGGTTTCATGAAAGGGGTGGTCACTTACAGTGTAATGGACAATCTTGAGGTGAAGCCTATGTCTACCATTTCATGTATTTCCATGCTAAACAAATTCAATATCAAGGAAGTTAGTTCCCTTGAAGAGAGAGTTGTCGATGTGGGAATGGATCAGGTATTCAACTATTTGCTAGCTTGTGGCAACCCCTTTCATCATTTTTAGTGCCAGTTCATTTGTGTGTTTTTTGATTTCAGGGCTTGAAGTTGCTCAAGGCATCCCTGCAATCTAAGACTGCCCTTAGTGCTGAGTTTTTAGGGAAGTAGGGTTTCAATCAAGTGATTATGATGCTATTGCACTAGAAAAAATTGGAAAGAGGAAGGGAGGATTTTTACTTGACTTATTATCATCGGAGGTGTCCAACTTTGTTTCATTTCGTCTTTGTTTAATTCTGTTATAAATAAATTTTAAATATATTCATTTTAATTAATTTT